TGGGATCGAGCCCCATGTCTGGCTCCTGGCTTGGTGGGGAGCCTGCTTCTCCCTCTCCCTCTGCCTCTCCCCTGCTCATGCTCTCTCTCTCTCTGTATCGCTCTGTCTCAAATGAGTAAGTAAAATCTTTAAAAAAAAAAAAGTTAAGGATCTTGACATGGGGGGGCAGACTCTAAATACCATCACAGGTGTTACTTAGAAGAGAGAGGCACGGAGTGAGTGGACATATGCACAGGCAGAAGAGGAGAAGTGACCGGGGAGGTAGAGAGTGGAGGTGAGGCAGCCACAAGGCAGGGTGGGCAGGAGCCACCAGGATGGGGAAGAGGCAAGGAACACGTTCTCCCTGAGAATCTCAGTAGGGAGTGCGGCCCTGTCGACACCTTGATTTTTAATGGTCTGATTTCAGACTTCTGGTTCCCAGAACTGTGGGAAAAGGAATTTCTATTGTTTTAAGCCACCAAATTTGCGACAACCTGTTATTACGGCAGCCCCAGGAAATTAATTTAGGTACCCACTTGTCTCAACTGCCTATCTTATGATCTGTGGTGTAGGTGATGCCTAGATCATAGGGTCCTTGACCTCTCTCCTTACTGGAAATTAATTACCAAGCTGAGCAGAAACTTTTCTTACATTACCAGAAAGTTATACCTGAGAAACTGGAGTTTGAGAGAACACAGAAACAAGGATAATATACTTAACCAGTATTCACTCTGTAAGTTTCTGGTATTTTTTTTTAAGATTTTATTTATTTATTTGAGAGAGATGGTGAGAGAGAGCAGGAGCAGGGAGAGGGAGAAGCAGGCTCCCTGTTGAGCAGGGAGCCCAACATCAGCTCCATCCCAGGACTCTGGAATCATGACCTGAGCTGAAGGTAGATGCTTAACTGACTGAGCCACCCAGGCATCTCATTCTTGGTATGTTTTCATCTTTGTTCTAAGTCCTAGAATAAAAACTGAATAAGATAGGATCCTTATCCTTGAGGAGGTTGATGTGGGGAGTTAGACATACACACATACAATGAAATTAAAAATATGTGGAAAATGCAGTAATGATCATGTGCACGGAGTATTAGGAACATGCTGAAAAGTGCACAGGCTACGGGATGCATCTGCATAAGCACGCAGGAGAAGGGAGCTAGAAAAAGTTTCCTGGCAAAGGCATGCCTCTGAACTGACACATAAAGGAGGGAGTAATAAAGCAGGCCAAACGGGTAAACTTTGATCATTTTTTCCCCCATGGATTTCATACTCTGAAGGAAACTGTCTACCTTAGACAGTGTTTATTAAGTAACATAACATCTCTAACTGCCAAACAGGTTATAATCAGCATAGGGTGGTCACTACTATTTTCCTATTATTTAAGCCAATGGCAAAGTTATTTCTTGTCATTGATTTTTTTTCCTGTGAAGTCTTTTCCTGGCAAAAATGTAATTTGTTTCTTTCATTATGATTTTTGAAATGCTGATACAACACCAGAACTCTCTCCTCATTTCTTTCAAGGACAGGCTTTCCTATCTTGGTAAAGACAGTATCTCCTTGCACTAACCCATCTGGCCTAGAGAAAATGATATTGAAAAGAACCTCATTAATGAGAGTTCCTGCATAACAGGGCAATAGCTTGCAGGATTGTTTCCTTGTAAGGCAAAGTACAGAGTCAGATCCTGGGCCCCTTCTACAGAACTCCTATAAGATAATAGGTATCAATGTAATAATCAACATGTGTATAGCATTCTATCATTCTACAAAAGGATTTCACAAAAGTATCTGATTATGGGTTGTTAGAACTGAAAGCAAATCCTGTTTTGCCATCCCAAGCAAGTTTCTCTTCTTTTTTTATTTTTTTAGTCTTTATTGTAATGTTAACATTTTCCAGCTTTATTGAGATCTAATTGACATATAACACTGTGTAAGCTTAAAGTGTTGATTATGTTGATTTGCTGTTGAATATGTTGATTTGATACTTATCTATTGTGGCATGATTACCATTGTAGCTTAGCTAACACCTCCATCACCTCATATAGTTATCCTTTCTTTTCTGTGGTGAGAAAATTTAAGATCTACTCTCTTAAACACTTACAAATAGTATGTATTACAATATCGTTATTTATAATCATTGTGCTGTATATTTCATCTCCAGAACTTATTCATCATATAAGTGGAAGTTTGTACCCTTTAACCAACATCTGACCATTTCCCCCACCTTCTCAGGTGAGTTTAATCTCTTTCAGCTTCAGTTTCTTTATCTCTAAAGTAGGGGCACTGACTTCCACTGGGAGAGCTATCAAATGAATTAAGTGAGATTTTAAGTATGAAGTACCAAGGACAGTGGCTGACAAGTAGTAGGTACATGGTAAGAGCTAGATCCATTATTTTTGTCTTTTTTTTTCCCTAGAAGTAGCTGAACTTTAAAAAAAAAAAATTGTCTTTGACCATCAATAAGGTGAAAAGACAACCTATGGAGTAGGAAAAATATTTGCAAACCATCTATCTGAAAAATATACAAAGCACTCATACAACTCAATAGCAAAAAATAAAAACAAAACCAAAACAAACAAAAAACCCAAGCAATTAAAAAATGGGCAAAGGGCCTGAATAGACCTTTCTCCAAAGAAGATACATGAAAGACCAAAATGTATATGAAAAGATGCTCAACATCACTCGTCATTAGGGAAATGCAAATTAAAATCACAATGAATATCATCCCATACCTATTAGAATGGCCATCAACAAAAGACAAGACAAGGCATGGATGTGAAGAAAAGGGAATCTTTGTGCACTGTTGGTGGGATTGTAAATTGGTGTAGCAATTATGGAAGAAGTATAGAGGATCCTCAAAAAAATTAAAGATAGGACTACTATATGATCCAGCAATTCCACTTTTGGAAATATATCCAAAGAAAATGAAAACACTAACTGGAAACAATATCTGCACCCCCATGTTAATAGCAACATTATTTACACTAGCCAAGACATGGAAAGAACCTACGTGTGCACTGATGGGATATTATTCAGCCATAAAGAAACGAAGAAATACTACCATTTGTGACAACGTGGATGGAACTTGAGGGCATTATGCTACATGAAATAAGTCAGACAGAGAAAGACAAATACTGTATGATCTCACTTATCAGTGGAATACAAAACTCCCACAAAAACAAAAAACAAACAAAAAAAACAACTCATAGAAAAAGAGCTCAGACTTGTTACCAGAGATAGAGGATGGGAGGAGGGGGTATTGAAGGAAGATGGTCAAAGGTACAAACTTCTAGTGATAAGATAAATACTAGAGATATAGTACAACATAATGACCATAGCTACCACTGCTGTATGATATGCAGGAGTTAAGAGAGTAAATCCTAAGAGTTCTCATCCCAAGAAATTTTTTTTCCTTTTTATTATATCTATATGGGAAGATGAATGTTAGCCAATCCTATTGTGGTAATCATTTCACAATACATATAAATCAAACCATCATATTGTATACCTTAAACTTATACTGTGATGCATGCCAATAATTTCTTAATAAAACTGGAAAAAAAACTAGATCAATTAAGTCAAGAAAAAATGTCTTTTACTATTTTTCCATTGCTTCATTCCTCTCAAATTTTGGCTAGAACCAAACCATTTTGCTGGACCCTTTTTACCTCCCATCTATTGAACTTATGGCTCTCAGATGGTTACTTAGAGGTGTAATGTGAGGAGTACCAGGGTGTCCCAGAATTTGACCTTCCCCAGTGGTGACTTCTTGGGTTCCCTGTGTGGTATTTTTTTGGGTCCTCTAGGTATCACATGGGAATTATGAAGAACAGAGTGTTATTTATAAATAATATGCTTCCTAACCCCAGAAAGATTTAGAGCAGTTTTCAGGATTTGATCATGCATGAAACAGGAAAGTCCTTTATCACAGAGAAATGACAGACTACTAGAAAGTGAACTGCATGAAATGAAACCCACACTTGATATGGATTAATTCGTTTCGAACGTAGGATTGCTGTCATTAATCAGTCCATGAAATTAATTGCTGTAAGAGAAGATTTTATATTTTAGTTTTAATTACATATTATGGCATGTGTTGTAAAGTGGATTTTGTTAAAAAAAAAAAAAAAGCTTGAAAGCCATGAGATTAGGCTACTAGTGGTTTACCTTTTCTGCCACTTGTTAGTTGTTAAAGTTTGGAAAATTCCTGATTTCACAAACTTTTGTTGAACACTTACTTTGCATCAGACATTCTTCTGTATGAATGATTTTCCCCCTCTTTCCTAATACTGATAATTTGCGGTGTGGGATAGGTAGACTGTGTCAATCCCATACTCTTCTCACCCTTCGCCAGGCCTCTAGTACAAGTTTGAGGGGATTCCTATTACTAAACAGATTCTGATACTCGGTAATAAAACGCACTTTTCGGAACAGTGAATCTGAGCTTCCCTAAAGCCCCCTGAGAATTACGTCAGCTTTAACCATTATACCGCTGGCCTCTTTTTATTCAGAATTTTCTTCAAAGCTTTGCATAAATGTGGGTTGGCGTGGGGGTGAGGGACTGAGAAGAGGGAGGTAGAGGGAAGCTTTAGGTAAGGGGGTGTGAGGAGGCGCTTGTTGGGGGTGGGATGAGTTGCTGAGGATGGGCGGGAGAAGGCGGACGCTCGTACACAAAAGGCTATTTCCGGCTCAAATTTCCTTACGGAGGCTCTTTAAGTTGAACTTTTTTGGGGGAAAACGACCCGTGCCAAAGAACTAGGTGTGTGCGAGTGTACGAGGGTGCGGCGGGGTTCCCCACAAGGCATGGGTATCATTCTCCACATCTTTGTCGGTCTCTGCGAGCCGCGCCGGCCGGGCTGAGGCTGCGGGGGACGCCTCCCGGTTCCCAGCCGGGACATCCTGAACGACAGCAGCCGCAACAACAGGCTCGCCCGCAGACAAAGAGGCGGGCGCGGCGGGGCAGAGTCGCGCAACCGGGCGGCGGGGCCGGGGAGCGCGCCCTCCGAGCGCTGGGCCGGGGCCGCCGAGGGCGCAGCGCAGACCTAGCGCGGGCCGCAGCCGCGGCGCCCGGAAGACCCGGCTCGGGGACGCAGACCCCGCCCGGGCTGGCTCGGCGCCGGCGTCCGGGCTTCCACTCAGTCTTTGACCCTCCGCCCCCCCCCGCCCCCCCCACTTCCTCCTCGCAGACCGCACAACTGTAACCGCTGCCCCGGTCGCCGCCGCTCCTTCTCGGGCCGGCCCGCGGAGAGCGCAGCGCGGCAGGGCCGGCGGCATGGCTGTGTCCTGGAGGAACTGGCTGGCCAACGAAGGGGTTAAACACCTCTGCCTGGTAGGATGGCGGGCAAGGCTCTCCCTGCGTTTTGTCTCTCGTGCAGCGACTTTGATTCATTCTCTGAGCGTGCGCGGGTGGGGAGCTGGAGACGTTTTGCCTCTAATTCAAATATTCTCAACTAACAAAACTTTCCGCTGTTCATGCCTGGAGATAATAACGACCCCCCCCCATCCCACCCCCGCTCCAAATGCATGGGAACTTTGCTGCACACTGATGGGAGAGCGGATATGGAGGGAGGGAGAAGAGATCACTTGTAGTGAACACAATTTTTCTTAACCTTTTAAACATCTTCCCCCCTTTGCTCTTTTCCCAGATTGCTTTTGTTTGGTGTTGCATTTTAACAACATGCAATACTCGGGACGTGATGATGTCACTAATTTCTTAGGCTCATTTTGTACTGCAGGGGATGTCTGCCGATCATTTAGGAGACGTCTTTGCAAACCAAATGCTTAATCTCAGGTGCAGGGACTGAGTGAGGTCAGACTTGTTTTGCTCTGAGTGGTTTTCAGCTTGCTGGTTAATTGAAAATGCTTTCTGCAATTACTAATCCAGTTTCCACAGAAAGTATTGTGCCCATGAATGTACTTGAGGTTTCCATTCATCAGGTAATGTTTATTTTTAATTTTTGTTTTCTCTCTCTGTATGATTTAGTTTATCTGGCTCTCCCTGAATGTTTTGCTTTTCTGGAAAGCCTTCCTGCTGTATAACCAAGGGCCAGAGTATCACTACCTCCACCAGATGTTAGGGGTAAGTGGGACTTGGGTAACCTGGTAGAATGGGTTTAAGGTAGGCAGGCATTGCTACCAGGCTTGGTCAGTTCTTCCATTTATTAAACCCTGGTGGTTCACTTCAGAAAGGTTTGTCATTTTCTAAGGTGGTCAGGTTTCCTTGATCTATCATTTACACTCATGTAGGTTAAAATGACTGACTCTTTTAAGAACCAAAGATACTATGTGCTAAAGTGAAAGGAATGAAGCTGCCAGACCAGGCTAGTAGTGCCTGAGAGAAGTTGCTACCTCTTGTCTGCTGCCAAGTGCCTTGAAGGATCTGCTTCACCAGCAGGACCAACCAATGACAGGCTTTTAGTTTTCACTAATCAAGACTTCAGCCTGCCCCTAAGCTTATCCAGAGGATTTCTGCACTGTTTCCTTTTACTGCCAGTTCTCACAAAGTATGTGTCTAAGGCAGTTATTCATTTCTATGCATTAGCTTCTTACCCTAGGTTGATTATGGTTCCAGTGTTCTGGCCTAATACGAAAATGATTTTGTGCAGAACTTTGCTCTGATTTATCTCATGTTGATATTTTTCCTTTTCTCTATTCCGTGACATTTCTGATCTCATTCTTTCCATTCCCTTCCTACTTGACTCCTTAACAAAAGAGAGAGGCACTGAAGACATCTTACTTTGTATTAGGAGGTAGCATTTTCTGAGCAACCAGCAAAAAGTATAAAGTGTACTGAAAAATTTTAGGGCATCTGAAAAAGATTTTATCATTCCTTTTCATTGGGGAAGTGAACACATTCTAAGTAGGAGATGCATTGTTTTCTTTTGCATGGTTTAATGATTATTTAAAATTGTTATTAGTTCACATGAATTTTGTGGAACTAACTTTCCATTTCGTACTTTACATTTACAGATCTTATTTATCTTTAAACCTCAGCTCCAAGGAGAGTAGTGCTTGGCACATGCTAAGACTGCAATAAATTGAGATTGAATTAATTGTTTTATTTTATACAATAAAGTACTATTTCTCATTATCTATTGGTCACACAATTGATATTTTTAAAGTTTAACACCTATTTTTTAAAGAACTTATTTTTTTAGAGCTATTTAAGTTTCACAGTAAAATTGAGAGTAAGGTGTAGAGATTTCCCCCATGCTTCCCTACCCCCACACATGCATAGTCTCCCCCATTATCAACATCCCCTACCAGTATGATACATAAGTTATGATTGATGAACCTACATCGACACATCATCATCACCCAACACCTGTATTTTTAACTAATGGGTTAAGAAAAATAGTCTCAAAGATGAAACTCATTTTATTGCTAACTTTTAATTAAAATAAATAAATTATTTATTTATTATTTTAGAGAGAGAGAGAGAACACACTGGGGAGGCACAGAGGCAGAGTGGGAGGGAGAGAATCTCAAGCAGACTCTGCACTGAGCGCAAGCCTGATGTCCAGCTCGATCCCACAAATGCTGAGATCATGACCTGAGCCAAAATCAAGAGTTGGGTGCTCAACCGACTGAGCCACCCAAGTGCTCCTCATTTTATTGGTAACTCTTAAATCTGAACATTTCTTTTTCTTTTTCATCTAACCAACTTTCCATTTAACTATCTATCAAACTGTCATGAAACCCATACTTTTTTTCAAATGGGCACATAGAAAGTAAGCCCTTGCCCCTGCCCTCAGGTTTCTTACAATCTTGTGGAAAATCGAAAAGTATATCTTATAATTGAATAAACAAGTTAAGAAGAATTTTCTCTAATAAACGTATGAAGGTCTCTGACCTATCTTTTTAATTTTTTCCCCTAGAAAGTCCCCCTTAGGTGTGAATTAGTGAACACAAGATTTTTCAGTAGGAAGTATCTGACCTATTATGTAACTATATGAATAACTTGGAGAAAATTCAAAAGAGTTATGATGGCAAGTTTTGCTGTCAAAAATGGCAAATTTTGATAAAGAGATATTTGTATTAATATACGATCTAAGAATAGGTAACTTGAAGCCACAAATGAACTTTGGATTTCAGCTCTATGGTATAGTATAAGCTAAAATGATAACCTACTTAAAAATTAATTATGTTGGAAACCAGCGAGTTAATTTTTATGAGCTTGGTTGCTGTGTGACAACTTCAAATTTATTTTGGTGACAAGTCAGAGATGATGAAGAGTATACGCATACACACATATTACCCAACTAATTAAAACAAATTAAGTATGTTTTGCCTCTCGCCATCTCACTCTAGTGCTTTTGTTTGAATAATATGACAGGCTGGTGAGGTTCAATGGTGAGGCCGGCAGACCAGCTGGCACATAGGCTCAATAAATATTCATCAGATGAATGAAGGAAAAAAATGACAAAAGGGCTAAATGGAAAACTATGAGTGAAAAGTGCAAGAAACGGATAGAAGAAGAGAGAGGTCATCGTAAATTAGTTTTTATAGAAACCTGAGAATGACCATAGTGAGTTGACCCCCAGGCCATCCTGTCAGAAGTCAACACTGTATGAAAGTCACTGTGGGGAGGAATGATTTTTCTCCTTGGCATCCTGCTGAGAAATGAAGGATGACTTCCAAACTTCTTACTTTTCAATAGTTACCTATATGGTGATTTTCTAGGCATTAATTTATCTAAACCATTTTGGAATATTTTCAGTCTGTCTTACTCTACTTTTTAGTGAAACAAGAACTCTGTGGTTTTACTATTTGCTTTATGAAGGAGGACTTAATTTTATTTGTCCTAGGCTTATCGTTCCTAATCTTTTGATGATTATGGTATTACCTCATAGTGTAAGAATTTGCAGACATTTTTCAAGTCGCAAAGAAAATAGAGTATAACAATGGGATATAATTAATTTTAAAATAAATATTGCTGGCTCCCATCTTTTACATGTTTAATACTGATACTTCATTATTATTAATGCCTTAGATAGAGCATCTTAGAGCCTACCAAACACTCACAAGAACAAGGTCCCACTGTGATGAATTTTAGAAAGCCTGAAAAGGACATAATAAATATTCTGATATTACAAGTCTCTCTCTTTTTAAAGATTTATTTTAGAGAGAGAGAGAGAGAGAGCATGAAAGGGAGGGGTATGACAGGGAGAGAGAATTTCAAGCAGATTCTGCGTTCAGCCCAGAGACCCAGGCAGGGCTCGATCTCATGACCCTGTGATCACAACCTGAGCCAAAATCAAGAGTCAGATGCTTAACTGACTGTGCCACCCAGGTGCTCCCATAAGTCTCTTTTGAAGGTGAATTTTAGATTCATAAAAATCATGGTGGTATTCCTGGAAATGAATTTACTACCACTTTAAAACACAAATGGAAGGAGTCCCTCCAGTTGATTATTTTGATAATAACATGGAGTATAAGGGTTGCTGTTATTCATCTTTTAAAAGTAAGGTAGTAACAAAGTTGCAGGAGTATGAGGGGAAGGGTCTATAGAATATAGTCCATTTACAAGAAGGCATAGATATTGACAAGCAGTTAATTCTTAGTAGTTTGAAATCTGTTTTCTACTGAAAACCAACTATGTGTTCAGCTGTTTATTCCTGCCATATACCAGACACTTTACAAATATTTGGTTTAAGCTAGGAAACCATTCTTCCCATTTTATACATGGGAAAAGGTGGGCGGAGGAAGCTGATGACTTGTTCAGCATCAGAGCTAGGATGTGATTACAGTTCTGTCTGGCCTTATTGCCTTTCCTCATGCTACACAGATTTTCAAAACACTTCACTGGCCCATCTCTGATAGTTAGGCCCCTGGTTGCTATTACTCATCATCAGTGCTGCCCAACAGAAATGTAATATGAGTCATGCAATTCAAAATTTTTGTAGCACATTAAAAAAGTGAAACGCTAGTGGCATTAAATGTAATAATATATTTTATTTAAAATAGTCTATCTAAAGTATTGTATTGGATTGAAGTATTCAACATGTAGTCAATATTTTAAAAAATATCAATGATATATTCTAGGCTGTTGCCTATTCTTTGAAATATATGGTATGCATTTTATACTTGTGCACATCATAATTTTCATCAAAAATACTTGACTTGTGTTTAGATTTCATAAATTTTTACAAATAAAAAAGTGAATTCACCTACCCAAGCTGTTCCAAACATATTTAAAATTTTTCTAACAACACAAAGGACTATCAGCTTTAAGTTTAAATTTAAAAAAATTAATAAACCTAAAAATTGAGTTTCTTGGTGGGCCTAGGCACATTTCAAATGCTTAATAGCTGTGTGCAATTAGTGGCTACCGTTTTGGACAGTGTAAGTGTAGACTGTGGGGGAAGATATTCCTACTTCCATGGTCACTTGCACTTATCATTTTGTTTTTACAGCAAGCAGCTGGCCACCAACCTGCCCGATAAAAAGACATCAGGATATGGGTAGTCCTCTTGCTCTCCCTTTCCAAAACAGTTGATATCATTTGGGAAGTTATGGACTCTAGCTATTGGTGTGTAATCATAAAAATATCTCTGACGTCTCCTTAATCATCTGAGCTTTTTGGTGGTGGGAACTGTTGAGAATGAAGGTAAAATTATTTCATTCTCAGAACTAGTGGATCCATTTTTTATCTATATTTATTTATATTTATAGGATGCTAGTTGATTGTTCTCAGGCCAGAATTAACTATTAAAAAGCTGCATAAGAATTAACAGAGAAAAGAAGATCTTAACTGATGGAAGATAAAATAATGTTGAGGTTAACGTGTCTTAGTAGGAGTTTTCATCAGGACTGTTCTTTCCCAGACTGGTCTGACCCAGACCTGGAGGCAGCCTGGTCACGGCTGGTTTATGCCTGAGTTAATGTGCTAATCAGACTGTGCACTTCCTAGGAGATGTTTAATTATGACATGCTGTGAGTTTTGGAATCTTAAAATTAAGCTAAGAAGAAAAAAAAAAAAGTCTTTTGAGGGAAGCCAAAACACACACACACATAAACTAACCAAGCGATAACCTCCACCTTCCCATCACAAGCTTTTAAATAAAGGAGTACTTTGAT